ACTTGAAATAAGAGAAGCAAGACATTCTATAAGGAAGAGGAAGGGATGTGATTTATTATAAACTTTTTTATACATTAGGAAATTGTCAGCAATTATTTTATGGATGAGAACCTGACCATGGCAATAAGAAGTGTCCATGAACGACAAAAGCAAGCAAGCAAGCCATGGGTACTCCATGTGGTGAGAATCACACCTGCCTGGCATCCATGGGGAAGGTAAAGGGAGGAATGGGAGGTAGACTGAGCAGGACGCATGTTGAGGGCCACCTGAACAACGCGTAGGAAGCCCAGAGTACAGAAGGAAGCACTGCCTGGGGATGAGGAAGACATTTGAGGAGGTAAGTTCTTTTCAGATAAGAAGCCACTGAGGAGGTTAAAGAAGGAAATACCAACAATTCTGTGACTCAGGAAGGTCATTCTCCTGGCTGCAGTTCTCCTTTGTTCAACGTTTCTGGTGGACTATTCATGAAGTGAGTTAATGTGATGTCCCCTAAACAAGGAAGGCTCCTGGACAGAATGCCATATACTGAATGCCATATCTTTAATTGCCACATCAACTATACTTTATTTATCATGCTTTTCCTGTGAGCTTCCTCTTACTCCAGTCAGCAAGTGTTTTCTTCTCCCCTTCATTTTTAACCTTCCTCACTCATACACGTTGTATGTCCAGCCTGGGTCTCTCCACGTTACGGGTCTCACACTTTTGCTTTTACTACACATTCCCATATGCAAGTTCTATCCTACGCAATAGATCTAAAACAAAACTTACTTTTCACCCCCACCCACAAATCTGCCCTGGGTCCACATTCTCTCAACCACCCCAGTTTAACGTATCAGCATCATCACTGATTCATCCTCCCTTCCCTTCTCCCCAGTTGTTTATTTCTGTCCAGTCTATCTCAGCAACACTTCTCTAATCCTGCTGCCATTACCCCAGTTCAGGTCTTCATTCTCTCAGAAGAACTCTTATAACCCTTCTTTACTGGCCCAATGGTTTCTTCATTTCTTCAATTCAGTTCATCCTCTTAATTATTAGATACTATATCCTATAATCCAAGTCTGATTAATGACATATCAAGGACCCAAAAAACTTCAATCTCATGGCTTCCTAACCCAGTCCAAATTTCCTAGCCTAGTATTAAGAGCCTTCCATGTTCTAGGTGAAATCTAATATTCCATCCTTATACTTTACCTTCCCACTATACCCCTTCATACATGCCCCACTTTTTTCCTACACCTGCTCTCTATCAGGTCTGGTAAATATTGGGTACAAAGGTTGATTTCCTCATGATTTGCTATATACTCTCCTTCCCTGTGCCATCTCGGTTTACAGGAAACAATCTAGCATTCTATATATTTGTTCCTTACACAGCAAATCAGAATATTCATGGAAAAGCCTGTAAAATCTAGAAAACAGACAAACACAGAGAAAGAAGAGCAGTATGATGTCCAATGTCAAAAGAAGGTGGTGACAAGTAGGATGCTATAAAAGCTTCAGAACATTTGAAAAACTTAGAATCATTTCAGCTGGGACAATGAATGCTAACAGCCCATCAGAATTCTTCTAGATGATTCATTGGTTTAACAGAACTTTGAGGTCAGTGAAAAGGTAAGTATGTATCGACTATAATGCAAAATGGCTCCAGTCAAGGTAAAAAACATCTTAGAAGCACAGGTAAATGATAAATTCTAAGAGATAAAGAAAGCTTCACAAAATATCATGAGATGGAAGCCACAAGAATTCAACATGTTATTAGAGAAAAGTATTCCAGGAGGCAGAAACAGTCTAAGGAAAGGTAGTGGCAGAAAATACTAGACATATGTGAGAAATTGGAAGATAACTGATTAACTCTTGGTCCATAACTATTACTCTGTTGGTTATCACTTTATAGAGCTTTGATGAATTCACCCTTTAGAGCTATCTGAGCTCAGCATTTTAATTCTGTGAATTCCTGAAAATATGTAGAAATTATCTGTAGGATGGATTAGTTATTAAGCAGTATTTTTGCAACCTTGCTGGATCCCAAGCTGTGTTTTAATTCCTGAATGGGCACTACACTCAGTTACTCCCATAGGCTGCCCCTTCAGCATTCCTGCAGCAGTATGAATGGATGCTCTAACATCCTAGGATTCCACTGCAGGTGTCACACTCTTTTCCACTGCAATCAAGAGAAAATTATACATTTTAAGGACTAATAACGCCAAAATATAAAATGTAAAAATGCAAGGTCAAACAACATAAATATCTGCCCTACAAACCACAAAGAATTCTAGAATCAAAGAGACCTGAAGGTCAACCATGTGACCCAGACTCTCTCTATCAGGTCTTCCTTCCAGGCATCTAGAATCAAGGCTCAATGATTTCGTCTTACCCTGGGCATGGAACTGAAGGACACATAGATACTCAGGAGCTACTGAGCAGCCACATTCAACCATGAACACAGGAAAACTGGGGGGGAAAAAAGGTCAGCAAAGAGAGAACAATGAAACAAAGACAGGCAAAGAAGAGACAGGGAAAGTTTCAAGTTTTTCCAGTCCCAGGTCCCTAATAAGGTCTGTTTGCTTTTGGCTTCCATCAAATTCCTTTCTTTCATTTTCCTAAAACAAGTTCAAGTTCATTCCTGTTACTTGCAATACAAGCTTAAATGAAGCAATACCAAAATCTTTCATTAAGTGGTTGATTTATTACTGGTCTGCCTTTTCTATACTTTCTTTTCTCTTAATTTCTATTTCCTTAAAAGTCAAAAATATAACTTTGATACACTAAAGAGACAAATATGTGAACAGGGGTCCAGGATCCTCCTGAGCATTTTAAAAGGAAAATCCATCACACCGAGAAAGGAGAAAATACATGAATATTCAAGATAAAACCTTGAGTTATCTGTACAGCACTCAGAGATGCTAACAACTGGCAAATTAAATAGCTATCTGCCCACTCTCCAAAGGCAATTTAATTCTGAATAAACCAGGTGGGTAGGTCCAATTTGGTCTCCTCTGAGGTATGATCAAAAGATGGTAACCCAATATAGGGCATTTCACTTGAAAGGCCCCAAATAACTAACCACAGGCCTTCCAATCACAGAAAGGTTTGGGTGTGCTATAGTAGTATCCCTAATCTGGACCCAAATTGCAAAACTGAGTATCAAACCATCAAACCTGGGCAAGATAGTAACAAATTTAGTATCATGGAACTCTGTCCAGATGTGTGCATCTGTGTACATGTGCCAGGTACCAAGATATTCTGGAGGCAGATCCAGGCTCCCCAAAGCTGGATCCACACCCATCAGATTTGACTACAAATAGACCAGTTTAACATGTATAGCATATGAGAGTTGACGATCAGAAGTTTGAACCCAATGTAATAGGTGGCTCTGCAGAATTATATAAACTAAAAAATATAATAGAATCCTGGAGTTAAAAGGGACATGGAGACTACATCCAACTTCAGCATTTTACAGGGAAGGAAACTAAATATCTGAACCAATATCATCAACCAAATCTTTAACTATAGTAACATAAGTGAAATAAAAATCAAAGGGATTGTAACCAGATTATGCTAGAACCAAACAGCATTATTTCCTAAAGTTGTTCTTTAATGATTGAATATTTTTTATTTAAGAAGTTTCTATGTATTAGAAAAACTATGGTAACTACTCTTGGGGTATTTTTTGGATTTACCTGTTACTCAGGTTTAGCAAAACAGTAAAGATTTCTCATTTAATGGGTTAACATTTTAGTTAAGGTATCAGAACAAGCACCTTTAAAAGCCACAAAACCATTTGTTGATTCAAAACCTAAATCATGCTGTGTGCATGCAGCTTTGGTAGACAGGCAGTTTAGGCACTGTGACAAAATTCTAAATGACAAAGAGCTACTTGTTTTAATATAAAAAAATTCCAGACATTCACATGGGGGCCTAATAAAAGTCACCAGAAATTAAACATATATGTCAGCTGAGACCAAAATTAAAAGAATAATGTTTAAATGGTCCAAATATAACCTTAGTGTCCAAAATTACTACAAGAGGCCACAGTATGGAGGGTTTTGGTCTTGAGAAACAGCTTTACCGCAAGTAGTGGGTAAGTCAACACATTACTGAAGAAAAAAAAATAAACGTACATCTATTCCCTGATAGTACAATCCACTCTTTTTCATGCAGCACAGTTTTTTAAAAAACCATTGATAAAATGTGAAGTTAAAACTTGTGTTTCCCAAGAAGTGCTATTAAAGTTACTCCTAAACAATGAGTCCATAAAAAGGTCTTTTTGAAAAACAATACTAATCAAAAACAAACATGAAATTGATAACACTTTAATTAATATTTATAAACTGCACATTTAAGTTAAACATTTTTAAAGTCTCCCATTAATCTGAATTGACATTTTTGCATCACATGAATCCCGAAGATTTTTTTGGAGACAAAACTATCTTTCAAAATCTATTCTGCCACTAGTGCTGTAAATGGAAATATGAAGAGACAGACCAGAGGGTGAATATAAGTCTATGCTTAAAAGAGTTAGCCTTCAGCTAATTTATAAGTCCTAGCTGTTAGCCATTTTATTTTGACAGTTTAGTCCATTAGTGACAAAAACAAAAGCAAACTAAAACTTGTTTAAAAATCTCAACTCTGAGATACTGTAATTTGTTCTTTTGTTCCAGGTAAGAATTTAGAAGTTTTGATGACTAGATACTCATCACAAATATGAAAGTTGATGCAATTTCATTTACCTTAAACTCTGCATTTGTACTTTCAAATAGCTACTTTTAATAATAATCTTATGCAAAAGAAATTCCTCACATATATTTTTCACGATTTAAAGAAAACTATCTGTAAAAATCATCTGGTTAAGACTTTGAAATTACCACACTTACAGTCCTAAACCAGTAAGGCAGGAATGGCAGCTTCTGTCCGTAGAGTTTGCCTTGAAACAGTCCAGTGTAAAACTCAAAAAACAGACTTGGACGCCTTTTTTCCGCTTAAAAACAAAACAGAATTGGTACCTGGCAAACTCGGGGTTGTTCGGTTTTGGCCTATTAAATGCCAGCCGGGCCCGCGAGAGCCTGACCCTGCGGGGACGCGGCGCGCAGCTGTGCGCCTCCCGGGGCGCCGCTCCTTGCCGCCCGCCCGCCGCCGGCGCCCCGCGCTGCCCCCGCGCCGCCCGGCGCCCCACGCCCCTCCCGGACGCGCAGCGTCAGGCGCGGCCCCGGCCGGCCCCTTCCCACGCACCGCGACCCGTTATCTGAGCGGCCGCTTGGGCGCGGCCGACCTGCGCGGGACAGGGGCTCCAGCCGGGGGCCGCCCCCCTCGGAACCGGGGACGGTGTCCCCTCCCTGCCGCCCCGGGCTGCCCCCAGGCCCCTGCCGCGTAGGCCCGGCCAGGCGGGAGTCTCTCTCGGCTCAGGTTCGCTCTCGGCGCCGGATTAGGTGTCAGCGGGGCGGCCAGACGCCTCCCGTCGGCGGGGCCCACACCACCCTGACCCCCTTTCAGCCGTCTGCACCGCCCTCGCGGCGCGCTGCGCTTCCGCGCGCCTCCTGGGCTCCAGAGAGGGGGCGTCTCCGCAGGAGGCTAAAGGGGGCGCCGCCGGCGCTCGGAGGGGAGCCGGGGTCGGGGTCACACCTCGACTTGGCAGGGTCGGGCCGGGAGGCGGAGGTGACGCGGGGAGGGAAGCCAAACTTACCCGACTGCGCCGCTCCGCGCGCCGCGACCGCGGCCAGGCAGAGGCAGAGGCAGAGCGAGAGGGGGCGAGGGAGGGCCCGCCGCGGGTTCATGGAGGTGCCAGGGCGCCGCCGCCGCTGTCCGAGCCTCGCTCGCTCCCTCCCTCCCAGGCTTCGGGCGACGGACGGGGCGGCGGGAGGCATGACGGGAAATTCCTGGGCACGGACAGCCGAGTCCAAATATGAGCAAAGGAGACGAGCGAGGGAGGACCGTGGAGCGCACCCGCTGCCCGGGCCTCGGCGGCCACCAACTCCACACTCCTGCTCAAATCCTCCCCCTCCACAGTCGCCCCAAGGCCGCCGGCCGCCGAGCGCCCCCGGAAGGATTCCCTCTGCCTGGGAGCATCCCTTTCCAATGTTGGGGCCCAAGAGCAGAGCCGCACATCCCACCCACCCGTCCCACCTGAGCCCCCTGAAGGGGTAAGAAACTACCACCAGGAGACGGGACAGCGAGCCAGGGACCCATCAGAAGACGTTTACGGGTTTTCAGGAGACACGGGCCGCCCCTAGGCCTCTGCGAGCTTTGGTAGTGAGGGGATGAAAAGACCCCGCAAACACTTCTCTACTGTGGGGGGTGGGAGGGGGGGATATAACTACACTCTTATGTGGGCTGTCCTGTACACAACGGACTAGCATCGTAATACATAAAGCCACCTTCTGGTATTCCAGCCGAGTGGTCCCTCTACATTAGGTGGTGCGTGTGTTTAGCCAAAATTACAAAGGGGCTTTTCCCAAACTTATATTTGAATACCATATATGGAGTTGAGGCCAGATGAGTGACAGCTTTTTGCACTAGCTAAATACTGATGTCTATCTACACCCGTTTTTTCCATGTCCAATCTCTCTTCAGCTCCCTTACACTAGTTTTGTATTTATTGTAGCTCGTCTAAAGGTTAATGTTGAAATTTATTCTGAAGGTGCTACTCTGATGACTAAAATACTCTGATGACTAAAGTCCCAAATATTTACATACAGACCCAAGACCAAAGTTCCCTGACTTTTCTTTGGCACTGAGAATTCCAGTAATCAAGTCCAAATGACCCTTAGCTTCCCAAGACAACATAATTATGTCTTAATTACTGTAATTTACTTTTTTAAACTCACACTAATAGGACAGGCCTTGGAGATACAGAATGTTATGTAACTACTTATGAACATTTTAAGATACTACAGAAATGATTTATTGATGCAAAAGACTTAAGGGGTAAAAGTCAAACAGATTTATAGTGTGGATTGTTCTAACATTAGCTCAAGTACGGTAATTTGTAAATCACACAATTTGTTTGAAAATGCTAAATTTGAAAATCAGAAACTTTATTTTAAACATATTTAATCTGGCAAAGGATTAAGGCCCATATGCCAAAAACCAGTCCATTTGCAACTGTCTCCCCTTAAATCATCTAGTACTGAGAAACGCCACATCCAGTGAATTACTCCTGGCAAATGGCAAATTTCACCCTTAATGTACTAGCAGTGATAATGGGACTAAGGGCAGATGACCTAAGTCAAGTAATGGTAAATAAACTGTAATACAGTAAATAAGGAATTTAAAGACATAACATTATTATTCAATTTAGGTGACTAGAAACTGGAAAGTTGAAAGGGAAAAAACAGGAAAGTCTTTGCCTGTTCTCTCCTCTTTTTTTTTTTTAAATATTCGACTATGTATTACATAAGCATCTGTTTTTCTTCCTGTACAACACCTAGCATAGTTCCTTGCCCACAGTCTAAGTATTTGTTTAAAAACGAAAATAAAATGAGCCATCTTTTGCAGACTGGCATATAGGAGCTCTTCATGTGTAGACAGAGCTAGTTTCAAAGGATTGTAATAATTAAGGCTATACTAAAATATTTACTTGACCTTAAGTACAAAAACATAAAATGATAAAGAATGAGATACCGTTACAACCTAACTCATGTTACTATAAGAGTTCATTAGTTGTATCAACTCTGCTGACTTAACTGTCAGCAATACCAGCAGCTATTCTGAAGGCTTAAATATGTATCTTAGACAGAAGAGATTGACAGTTACTGAGTGCATAGGAAGTGCCAGACGCTATGCTAGATATCTTACACATGGTATTTCATTTAATTCTTACAAATATCGCCAAGTTATTATTTTTTATCCTCATTTTATAGCTAAGGGGACTGAGGCGCAGATAAATAAATTATGCTGCCAGGAAGAAGTGAAGTAGTATTGGAATTCAAACCTCATTCTAAAGTCTATATATACCCTTTTTTCCATACTAATCTGCCCCATTTTGTCAAACTGTACTCACTGGGCTCTTGTAGTTTTAAGTAACTGGTGTGCACTCAGGTTACTTTTAGTAATAGAATACGTGTGGAAACACAACCTGAGACTTAACTGGCTTGTCAGATCATCCTTTGTGGGCCTCATGGGGTGGGGGCCTCTGCCTTTGAGAGGTACAGGGACAGGAAAGGTACTACCCACTGACCACATTCTATGAGTGTTGTAGTTCACTGATACTTAAATCAGATATTTCACAATATTTTCCCTAATGTCTTTTTTATTATAATTTTAATACCAAACATGTTAACTTATTGCCTTGAACATTGTTTTTGTTTTTTAGGCTAAGGACCCAGAGTAGGAAATTGCTTCCCTTGCTTCCTAAATATCATCCCTCCACTAACCCAGTGGTGTGCTGGTAAATGTTTAACAACCAGATCTGGAGGAGGGAAACCTGAATTTAACAAAAACCAATTCATGTGATGTCAGTACTCACCAGCCAGAGTCTCTGGAGGCAGAGTTGGGAAGAAAGGTACACAACCAGCCCCACAGCCCATCAGAGCCAGACCCAGCACCCCCGTGCCCCAGCCCCTCATAAGATGTCGTTAGAACTCAGCAGTAATTCAAGTTGCACAGCCTCAGCTCCTCCCACTTTTGCTCCCACTCACTATCCATTGCCAGTTCTCTCTCCATAGCTTATAATCAAATGCCCCAGAAAGGAGAATCTCATTCTATCACCATTGTCCCTCTTGGGTAAAGTTTTTGTATGGCGCTGTCTCATAAGCCTCTGAGCAGCCTCTAGACTGGCTCCCTCCGACCCAGGTGTCCGCTCCTACTCCATGAACTATGGCTAGGATGGAAGGCTCACAGGCTGTACAACACAGTCATCTATGCTAAGCAAACACACGTTGTTGCTTCCTTTTAGGGGATTGCAGTTGGAGCAGCCTCTTTCAGAGGGAGTCTGTAAGCATGATAAGCATTCAAGCTGTAAGCCCGCTGACACACTGTTCTTACCTCTTTAATAAAATCCCCTCAGCCACTACACAAAGCTTTGGGACAGCCCCCACTCCACCTACCCCAAGACGTCTTGGGTGGGTGCCAACATCTGCAAACAGGAAAGTGGACACATTAGAACTAGATACTATTCAAAAGCTCCCGGACAGAGTGAGAAACACTAAGTTAGCACTTAAATCCAATGAACATTGATCAAGTGCCATTGCTGTAAACCAATGAAGATCAACTGGAGAGTGAGAATTACCTCTTAGGAGGTTGTAACAGACTCTCCAGAAGACACTTTGTCAAACTACATTCAATTCAAATTCCCCAAATTCTGCTTATCTGTCCTAGGAAGTGGAATATTGTCACTCTCACCCCTTCTGAGAACGATGTATACTGATGGAAGCATGCCCCACACCTCACTGTGCTGGGGTAGTAAGAGAGTCGAGGAAACTATTCTCAGCAACATGAAGGACACAGAGTCAGGGCTGACTGACTAGGAGAGACACCTGACATTTTCTCCCAGATTCTGAAAACAGATTTACACTTCCAGGTCACTGTCCCAGGCCCCAGTCAACACAGGCAGGAGAATGACAAGGACTCTCCACAGGCACCCTAAACACACACAGAAGACTGAATTCAAGTGAGCATTTTCCTTCTTTTCATAGCAAAAAGGATCACCTGCATCCCCAATAGCATTTTTAAAATTTTACTTTATGCAGTTGAAGCCATTCCTTTTGTTGATTAATTTTGGAGAGATTTGAAGTATATATTCCCACGACTAGTCTGCCACCTGATTCCACCAGCTTTGGTTGTAGATATGCTATAAGAAGCAATAAATATTTAACAAAACTTTCGACACTGTAGAAAAAGTCCTCTCAAGCCCAGCAAAGCTGTGTAGCTTCTGGCAAGACTGGGTCACAGAATGTGGTATATGCATAATCAACTACATACATACATGGAATGAGAGAAGTGGGCATGGCAAGAATGAACGCTCTAAGTGGTACAGGAAGACTGTTGGGGGACAGAGGAAACCCTGGCGGTGTTTGACTTCCTCAAAAATAGTACGTTGTTTTCCAAACTGGTGCCTCCTTACAGGATTCTCTGCAGGACCTCTGCCAAATTTTCACCCTGTGAGCTGTCATTAGAGCCTGATCTCAAAGTAAGACACAGCTGCA